TGTGGGTGTTGTAGGGTTCCTTGGGGGTGTTCCAGGGTTCCTTGGGGGTGTACCAGGGTTTCTGGGGGTGTTCCAGGGTTCCTTGGGGGCATTCCTTGGGGGTGTTCCAGGGTTCCTCAGGGGTGTACCAGGGTTCCTTGGGGGTGTTATGGGGTTCCTTGTACAGGGTTCCTTGGGGGTGTTACAGGGATCCTTGGGGTTGTTACGGGGTTCCTTGGGAGGGTTCCTTGGGGGTGTTCCAGGGTTCCTTGGGGGTGTTCCAGGGTTCCTTGGGGGTGTACCAGGGTTTCTGGGGGTGTTGTAGGGCTCCTTGGGGGTGTTCCAGGGTTCCTTGGGGGTGTACCAGGGTTTCTGGGGGTGTTGTAGGGGTCCTTGGGGGTGTTACGAGGTTCCTTGCGGGTGTTGTAGGGGTCTTGTCAGCGTCCCGTGGCGTTTCGGGGGGTCCCCAACTCCCGTCCCTGTGTGTCCCCCGTCCCAGCTGCCACCCTGCGCTGTTTCCCGGAGCTCTCAGTGACTCTGTCCCCGTCCCTGTCGCAGCTGCCATCTCTCAGTGGCCGCAGGAGCCGGCCGAGGCGGCGGTGGCCCTGCTGCTGGCCCACCTGCCGCTGCTGCAGCCGGGCAACGCGGCCGCCAAGGCCGAGTACATGAAGCGGCTGCAGAAGGTGCTGGCGGACGCCATCGAGAGCAATCGCTGCGTGGAGGAGTCGCGGCAGCTGCTGTCCTACGCCCTCATCCACCCGGCCACCACCGCCGACGACCGCAGCGCGCTGGCCCTGTGGCTCGGCCACCTGGAGGAGCGGCTGGCCCCGGCCGGCCCCGCCCCGGCCGCGCCCCCGCAGCGCCGGCCCCCCGCCCACGAGTGGCCCCCCGAGCCCCCCGAGCCCGGGGGCAGCGGGACAGCGGGAGCGGGGGCGTGGGCAGAGCAGCACCCCCCGGGCACGGCCCCCCGGGAGAACGGGCACCCCCCGTTCCAGCCCCCTGCAGGTACTGGGAGGAACGGGACCCAAGGTTTTGGGGTGGGGTTCACTGGTTTGGGGGGGTTCAGGGTTTGGGGAGGGGTCCCAGAGCTCTAGAAGGGAGAAAATGGGGAGAATTGGGGTAAAACGGGGGGTGAAGGGGTGGGGAAATAGGAGGAGGAACGGGGAGAATGGGGAAAAAGGGCAGGGAATTGGGGGAAAATGGGGGGAATTGGGGTAAAACGTGGGGTGGAGGGGTGGGGAAATAGGAGGAGGAATGGAGGAGGAGGGAAATGGAAAATGGGGGGAAATTGAGGAAAAAGGGAGGAGGAAGAAGAGAAAAGGGAGGAGGGGGTGGAAGAGGGGGGGGAAAAGCAGCTGGGAGTGGGGACAGGGGCAAGGGTGAAATGATGGGGAAGGGGCCAGAGGGACCCTGGAGGTCAATGGGGGGGATCAGGAAAAGGGGTTGGAGGGTCTTGGGGGATATAAGGAGGGGGCTGGGTGGGGTTCCACCAACGGGGGAGGGACGAGGGGATTTGGGAGGGGTCCCAGGGCCTGGGGAAGGGTCTCTGGAGCCCCCCCCCCCAACCCTGTCCCCGCTGTGCCCCCAGCCCTGCCGTGCCAGCTGCACCCCAGCCCCCTGAAGCGCTCGCTGGCGCTGGTGCCCGGCAGTCCCCAGCCCGGCCCGGGCGGTGACTGGGGGGGGTCGGGGGGACCCGAGGACCCCCCCACGGCACCCCGAGGGCCCCCCCCGGCGTTCGGGGACCACGCGCCGCTGTCCCCGCAGAGCAGCGTGGCCTCGTCGGGCAGCGAGCACACCGAGGAGCCCGGCGGGCGCAACTCCTTCCAGGAGGACGGCAGCGGCATGAAGGGTGGGCGGGGGGCTCCGGGGAGCTCCGGGGGGGGGTCCTGTGGGGCTGCTTGCACCTGACAGCCCCCCGTGCCCCCCTCCCCAGATGTCCCCTCGTGGCTGAAGAGCCTGCGGCTGCACAAGTACGCGGCGCTGTTCGCGCAGATGAGCTACGAGGAGATGATGACGCTGACCGAGCACCACCTGGAGTCGCAGGTGAGCCCCTCCCGACCTGGAGCGGCACTGGGGGGCCGGGAGGGGACACTGGGGTCCGGTCCCAGGGCTGCAGGAGTGGCCGGGGTGCTCCGGGGCACTGGGAGGGACTGGGGGGACCACGGTGTCCCCAGGGTTTCTGGTGTGGAGGTCCCAGCGTCACCAGGGCTGGTGGGGATGGACTCTCGGCATCTCCAACCTTCCCGGGGAGTGTCCCCAGTGTTCCCGTGAGGGGTGTGACACCCCCAGAGCCGTGTGACACCCCTGTCCCCACCAGAACGTCACTAAAGGCGCTCGGCACAAGATCGCCCTGAGCATCCAAAAGCTGCGGGAGCGGCAGAGCGTCCTCAGGGCACTGGAGAAGGTCACTGGGGACACTGGGAGGGCACTGGGAGGGACTGGGGGGTAATGAGGGGCTCTGGGAGGGAGTGGGGAGCACTGGGAGGGACTGGGGGACAATGAGGGGCACTGGGAGGGACTGGGGGGCTCTGGGAGGGACTGGGGGGCACTGGGAGGGACTGGGGGGTAATGAGGGGCTCTGGGAGGGAGTGGGGAGCACTGGGAGGGAGTGGAAGGGGACTGGGAGGGTCTGGGGGGCACTGGGCTGGTTTGGGGGGTCCCCAGTGTCGTAAGAGCTCCTGGAGGGGGTCCCTGGTGTCCCCAGAGCCCCGCAGTGACTGCAGGGCTGCTGCTGGGGGGATTCACCGTGTCCCCAGGGATGGATCAGGGGGTCCCCAAGGATGGATCAGGGGGTCCCCGGTGTCCCCAGAGCTTGGGATGGTTCTCCATGTCCCCCGCCTTCCTGGGGGTGTCCCTGATGTCCCCTCCCCGTGTCCCCCTCCCCCAGGATATCCTCGAGGGGGGCAACCTGTGGACGGCGCTGCAGGAGCTGCAGCAGATCCTGGTGACCCCCATCAAAGCCTTCCGGCCCCCCCCGGCCGCGCCCCCTCCCCCCGGGCCCCCCGACGGGGCCCCCCCCGACGCCTTCGCGCCCCCCCCGGCCCCCGGTCCCGACGCCGAGGCCCCCGCGGCACCCGTCCCCGACGGGGACATCCCGGGGCAGTTCACCCGTGTCATGGGCAAGGGTGAGCGGGGACCCCGGGGGAGGGGGTTTCAGGGTTTGGGGAGGGGTCCCAGAGCTCTAGAAGGGGTTTGGGGAGGGGTCCCAGAGCTCTAGAAGGGGTTTGGGGAGGGGTCCCAGAGCTCTAGAAGGGGTTTGGGGGGGGTCCCGGGGGTGTTTTAGAGGTGTCCCAGGGTTTTGGGGTGGGGGTTTGGGGGGGTTCAGAGTTTGGGGAGGGGTCCCAGAGCTCTAGAAGGGGTTTGGGGAGGGTGTCCCAGGGTTTTGGGGTGGGGGTTGGGGGATTTTGGGGTGGGTTTTTGGGGGTTTTGGGGGGTTTTGGGCACCCCTGACCCCCCCACAG